GTACTTATTCTTGACTATCAAGGCAACGTAATCTGGCCAGGCATAGTGGTGCATGAGATCGAGAGCAGCCTGGTTTACATAGAATTCCAGGCCTCCTGGGGCCATAGGGAGGCCCTGTCTCAAAGAGAGAGAGAAATCCATATAGTTCTGAACAGAAGGCACAGTAGGTGCAAAGACCCTGGGGCTGCAACAAGTTGTGATGTGTCCAACTTGGCTAACAACAAAGGGAGTGGGGTGCCAGGTATGCCAGGTGTGCAGGTCCCCAGCAGGTAGGACTGTGTGGTCACCGCTGGAGTCCCATGGGAAGCTCGTGTTTCACTCCTTTAAGGCCACTGCTCCGATCTGGATGTGGTCATTGTCTCTGTCCCCTGTTCTGTCTCATGGACCCTTAGGTCCATGAGTGGTGGCCTCAAATAGAGGCCTTCTCTGTGGGACAGAGTAGGTGCTTTTGTAGCCTGGTAGTAGGTGGCCCTGGGTGGTGATTTTACCTCTCTGCACCTGTTTCCTGGTGTGAGAAGCTTCAGGAAGGGAGAGGACTCCCTAGCAACCCTCCTCACCCACCCAGGACTGTTGGGAGATCCCAGCCTGACTAGTCTGCATGCTGGCACAGTAGAACTGGGTCAGCAGGGGGTCGCTTGCCACAGCCCTGCCCTGCCCCAACAGTGTGAGGGAGGAGGCAGCATTGGACAGTCTGAAACTGCCATGTTGGAGATGCTGAGTGTTCTAGAGCAGATGGACTGAGGACCAGTGGGTCCTGCCAGGCCCCCAGAGTCCACACTCCATACCCTGGTGCCATCTTGCTATCTTGACCTTTGGGATGAGGCCAGAGCCTGTCTGCCCCTCCACAGCCCCCGGGAATTCTGTCCAACTTTCCCCTGCCTCTTCCTTGGTTCCCAGTTCCTGTCCCTCCTTTCCCCAGAACCTTCCTTCAGGAAAAATGGAACCCTTGCTGTGGCCAGAAAGACTCCACCCCATCTGCCTCGTCACTCACCTGTGTCACTGAACTAGGCCCTCGCCCACCTCTCTGCGGTCACCCTGCCTCCTTAGCTGTGTGCATCCATCCACATGCCTGCCTCAGGACCTTCGCTCTGGTTCTTCTTACCCTCCGACTGTCCTTGTAGAGCCATGGGGCCTCCTTCAGTAAAGCCTCCCACTCTGAGCACTTGATTGACAGCTCCCCCATCCCTTGCCTGCATGCCCGTGCCTCTGTGTTCGTTTTTATTTCCTTCTCAGCTCACACATCTGCCCTGCAGACCTTGGGTGTACCTGGTTTGTCATGTTCCCTAGAATTTGAACTCTACAGCAGTCCAGCAGTGCTGTGGGCCAGACAGGCTCCACCCCAGTTGTCACTCAAATGGACTGATGGGTTGGTGAGGGTCAGTGGCTATGACAGGTCACTTGTGGGTAGGGAGTATCTGCCAAGGAGGGGCTGGGGCTGTCTCTGAGAAGTCTCAAGGACTCCCTGAAGGAAGCGGGCTTGGAGGTGGGTTGTGGATGGCATGTTGTGGGGGCTGTGGAGTGGCAGCAGGGGCCAGCTGTGGAAGGGAATGGGCACAGGCTCAGGAGGGCAGGAACCAGATTCCTTCCATTGTTAGCCCTGCCCTGGAAAGCAGGAGGTGCACTGAGGCGGGAAGGGCTTCCCTAGAGCTGGTGGCTCGTTCTTTTGGGGAGTGTGGAAGGTAGACCTGTTTGCCTCATGAAGGATTGGAGCAAGGGGTACAGGAGGTGACTGGGAAATGTGAATGCCCCATGTGTTATAGAATTCAAGAATTGGGGCTGGAGAGATGGCTCAGTGGTTAAGAACACTGGCTGTTCTTGCAGAAGACCCAGATTCGAATCCCAGCACCCACATGGCAGCTAACAACTGTCTGTAACTAGCCTCTTTTGTCCTCTGAGAGCATTGCATGACACAGGTGCACTTACGTACATGCAGGCAGTACACATATACACATCAAATAAAAATAATAAAATATATTTTTAAAAAAGAATTCAAGAATTAAAAAATTGAAATAAGCACTTTAAAACATAGTGCAGTTTTTAGGAACAAACCCTGGACTAGTGGTGCTGCTCGCCCCTGCCTGTAGGTCCCCAAGATTTTCCCAGCACTGTCTCAGAATAACCACTGCCCTGAGGAGCTCTGCATTGGCGTTTGCCCAGGGCCACCTGCCCCTCATGGTGGCAGTGGACTTGTCAGAACTGGAGCAGAGTGGCACATTTGAAGGCAGGGACAGATTGGTTTTTGATGGGTTTTTATTCCAGAAAATTTTTTTGATTAATTTATTTCTGTTTTATGAGTGTTTTGCCTTTATGTACGTAAGTACACCACGCTGTGCAGTGCCCGTGGCGGCAGGAAGAGGGCATCAGATCCCTTGGAACTCTTATGGATGGTTGTCAGCTGCCATGTGGGTGCTGGGAACTGAACCCAGGTCCTCTGCAAGAGCAGCCAATGTTCTTAACCACTGATATTTGATGTGTGAGTGTGTTGCCTGCATCTTCTCTGTAGTCAGCTGCCCCACAGAGACCTGTGGGAGGGGCCTTAGAAGCCCCATTCCCCCTTGGGACCAGGACAAACTAGGTGCAAGGCAAGGCCCAACCCCTGCAGGGCCAGCACAGGAGAATGGGAGGTAAAGTCTGGGTGCAGAAGGAGCTGGGGAGACATGGGGGCAGCATGGTGGCCAGAGCCAGTCTTGGAGATGACCAACAAACGGCCTTATACAGCACAGGCAGATAAGAGCCTACCCTATGGTGCCCACCTGGGGGGTCAAATCTTGGCTGTCTTTCACTGAGTGTCCCTGACAAGGAGTTTCCCTCTTGGGGTCTCAGTTCCACACCATTGGTTCTCTCCTTCAGCTTTGTGGGACCTTGGGATCTCACTCAGGTTGTCAGACTCTGTGGTAGGCACCTTTACCTACGAAGCCATCTCAGCAGACCCAATGAAGAGTCAATGAATGCCTGTCACAGGGCTATGTGAGTGGCACAGGATTGGGCACGATGAGCAGGGTCCATACCCTCCCCAGAAGTGGGGTCCATGGGCCCTGGAAGAAGCAGCCTGCTCCAGCGATCACCCTTGCTCTGCTCTGGGCAAGTGTGATGCCCGCTCTGCCTTGTTTTCTTTGAGGCACAGGGCTCATCATGGCCCCTTCTTCCTGAGTAGGAGCAAAAAGGGACACTGGATAAAGTGGTGCAAAGAGAGGCATCACACAGTAGGTTCCATGCTGGCTTATGTTGTCATGGTGACAGGCAGTGAGCGCTACTGTGTACGATCTCCTGATCTTGGATCCTAGTGGCTCAGAGACAGGTCTGCAGCACCTTGTCTGTGTCTGCAACCCCTTGTAAAAGCTGCCAGAAAGCTGCTGCTGCTACCATCACTGCCTTCATAGGAGGAAACTGAGGCTCACCAGTTACAGCCGTTTTCTTAGGGTCACGTGTTAAGCTTGCTGGCATGGGCTGTGGGCTGAGTTGGACCAGCTTCACTTCAGAGATACAGAAGTGACATCGTACCATGCCCAGCTAGTGGAAGCTGGGGTTTTAAGGCCTGGGCTGCCAGCCTCTGAAGTTTTAAGCTGGCTTGAGAATCCCCATCCCTGCCCTGTTGAGGTCAGGAGCTGCTTGCCTATGAGTGCCTAGGTGGGGCCTGCACCAGGTCATTATAAACAAGGCCAGTTCCTCTGTTTGTCCTGCCCTCCATGTTGTGCCCAGAGGAAAGGGGTGGGCCAGGCAAATATCCGGAGGTGTGCCCTTCCAACCCTCCCCCTACAGGGTCACAAGCAGCTACAGTGTGCAAGATAGCTTGGGAGTTAGAGGTGGGGGGTCTGTGTGGGGCTTTGGGAAGGCAGGCTGCCCCACGGCCTCCCCATTTCCATCCTGAGCACTTTGCCAGGTTTAGTGAGAGATCACACACACACACACACACACACACACACACACACACACCATTCTGCCAAGTCTTGAAGCTGCCTTGGGGCTCCCTGGGTGTGGGGAGGAGGGAGCTGAGGGGCAGAGCCAAGAGTTCAAGGTGAGGAGCAAGCTAGACAAGGACAGGAGCCCAGGACGCATGGCACCAAGGGAGGCTACCAGGCAGCATTGTTGGGGGTTCCAGGGACAGGCCTAGAGCCATGGAAGGCAGCAAAGCCAGGATGGGGAGGGCTGCCTGGTACAGAGTACAGGTCAAGGCCACGAGGATGGGCCAGGCAGGAAAGGTTGGAAGGAGGGATGTGGTTTTGAGCTGGTGCTGGGGAGAGACCGTGAAGTTGCCCACCTCTCTGGAAGTCAGAGGTGTTCCATCTGTGCCAACCCTCAGCCAGGGACTCCTGGGCCCAGGTCAAGCAGAGAAACTGGCCAGCTGGGGAGAGCCCTGTTGAGGCCTGGAGCTGGCCACCTGCTGGCCTCTTGGGACCAGTTGAGACAGGTTGGCTGCTGGGTCCCCACCTGCCTCCCACTGGGCTGCTTTGTCAAACCGGTTCCCCTGGCTGGCTGCCCATTACTGTCCTTCTTGTGGGCTGAGCTGGTGGCACCCCATAGAAAGGAAGCCATGCCAGGTGATGGGGAGAGCCAGCCAGGGCACCCTGGATACTTGACTGTGGCCACTCCCCCAGCAACCTCTCACTAGTGCTAGGCCCAAGTGCCCACCCTGTGCCAGTCACTGTGCCAAGCACTGGGGAGCCAGCTGGGAGCGAGACTGAAGTCTTCTGTGGCACCCTTTGAGTCCTCTGGGCCTCTACTCACCTGGGTCTCCACTCACCAGCACCTCCTGGGGGAAGCCTTCCCTTAGCACACTTACCACCCCTCCAAGGCTGACTGGCACTCTGTCACCCCAGTTCCCACCAGTCTGCACTGTCTCTATGGAAGAGCAGGTCTGTCTGCCCCATGTGGGCACCCCAGTAGGTCACAGGCTGTCTAGTCATCATCATGTCTCTCCACCAACCAGCAGAGGGCTGGGCATAGAAGCCTGTGGTGTTAATGAATGAATGGATGATAGCTCTTTTCTTCCTTTCCCACAGATGAGTAACACAAAGCTCCAAGAGGAGAAGTCACCCACCCAAGGGTGCTGCTAGCCCAGCCAGCCTCAGACCAGGTCTGTGTGACTCCAGGGCTTGTCTGTGGGACAGCTGGTGGGGGGGGCACACCCACTGCAGAGCAGCAGGGCCTGGGGCTCCTCCACAGGGCTGTTCTCCCTAGTGCTGAGGGATTGGTCTGAGACAGGGAGGCGCTCCTCACTTGCCAGGGGTCACAGGCAGCAGGGGAAGGTTGTGGCAGCCCCATTTCCAGCATTCTTGAGCTTGCTGGGAAGTGCCACCATCACCCCCCTTCAGCCTACGCCCCTTTTTTTGGCATGACTGGAATTGATTGGAACCCAGGGCCTCTTCAGTGCTCTGCCACTTAGCTACATCCCCAGCCCTTTTTTCATTTTATTTTGAGACAGTTTCATTAAGTTGACCAAGAAGCCTGAACTCACTCTATCCCAGCAGGCCTGCACTTTCCATTTTCCTGCCTCAGCATCCTGGGATTTCAGACCTGTGCTACTAGGCTGGGCTCACCTTTGAGTGACCAATTGTTTATTTGCTTACTTTTGCCCTTGGCTTTGTTTTGTTTTTGTTTTTGTCTTTTTTGTTTTTTTGAGACAGGTCTCCCTGAAGCACCAACTGGCCTGGAACTCACTATGTAGACCAGGCTGATCTCGATTTCACAGAGATCCACCTGCCTCTGCTTTTATAGTGCTGGGATTAAAGGTGTGCACCACCATGCCTGGCTAGCCTTTTTTTTTTTTTTTTTTTTTTTTTTTTTTTTTTTTTTTTTTTTGTACATGTGAGTGTATTGCCTGCATGTATCTAAATGCACACATATGTGATGCCTGAAGAGGCCAGAAGAGGGGGTCGGATCCTCAGGAACTGGAGTTACAGACAGTTGTTAGCTACCATATGGGTACTAGGAACCAAGTCTTGGTCCTCTGCAAGAGCAGCCAGTGCTCTTCACTGCTGAGCCATTTCTCACCCCTTTTTGATTCTTAACTGGCCTTTACTGAGGATTTATTCCTGACTGGTACTAAGTGCCCAATTGAAGACCCAGGCCCTAAATATAGCAGACTGTCAGTGAAGACAGGATATCCCATGGATCACTAACCAATGGTTGTGACCAGACTGGAGGTAGGGACTGTTCATTGAGCAGAAGCCCAGGGTGGGACCCAGGGAGACTGGGTAGATGGGTTGGCTTAGGCACTAGAATTTGGAGTGTGTGTGCAGGGGCCGGGGGTTATAGGCACTAAACATGTGAACCAACACCAGGTTCTATGTGGGTTAAAGGTATCTGAAGGTAATGTGATAGTTAGCAGGCTTTGGGGGCCATTTTACCTGTGATGGTTGGGAAAGGATTCAGTGCCCACTCAGAACTGGAGGGAGAGAGCTGTTGTGGGGCTACTTGGGAAGGGTGTTTCAGGCAGAGGGAACTGCCTATGCAGAGGCCCTGGGATATGAAAGCTGATGTGGAGGGGGGCCAAGGGAAGCGTGTTGTGTGAGGTCTCTTGGACCATGAGTCCAGCTGTGGCTGGAATGAGGCAAAGCCACGGGCCCAGGAAGAGGCTGCTGCCCCCTGGTGGTAGATGGGAGAGCTACTGAGCCATGGATGGAAGGGGCAGAGGAGAGCTGGGGTGGGCATAAGTGATTGACCACCAGCCACTGAAGCCACCCCTCCTGCAGGTGCCCAGAAGAGCTCAAGCCACTGCGCACACACTCTCAGTGCTAGGGTCTCAGCGCCATGTTTGGGAAAAGGAAGAAGCGGGTCGAGATCTCGGCCCCATCCAACTTCGAGCACCGAGTGCACACGGGCTTCGACCAGCATGAGCAGAAGTTCACAGGGCTGCCCCGCCAATGGCAGAGCCTGATTGAGGAGTCGGCCCGCCGGCCCAAGCCTCTCATAGACCCAGCCTGCATCACCTCCATCCAGCCTGGAGCCCCTAAGGTAGCAGTCACCACTACCACCCCCTACCCACACTGCTGGAGCAGCCCAACCCTTCAGCTGCCCTTGACCTCCTTGCTGAGCCCCCATACCTCTGTAGTGAAGAATCAGCCTCCCACCCACCAGCCCCACCCCTAAAAGTCCATGCTGATCCTCCACGCTTACCACACCTGCCCCAGCAGCACACAGCTGACTTTGGTCTTCCCAGTGCTCCCATGACACAGGAGACAGACTCACTTCCACACAGCATTAGGACTGGAGTAGGGGATACCTAGGCTGTACCCCAAGGGCTGAGGAGGACCAGGCTGAGGTGGAGGGGAACAGGGCAAGAAGTTGAATCCACACTCCCATGTCCTGTGGAGGTTTTTTCTGTCATCTAAGCAAAATGGCAGAGTTGGGATGGGACCTGAGGCCTGGATCCAGGACCCCTCCCCTTCCCCCGACCCTGTCTTGGTGCACAATGTGAGAATTGTAGCCCACTGCCCAGGCATGGCCTGCAGTGTGGTGAGCCCAGTGTCAAGTGTCCCTGCTGGGCCTGCTGAAGCCAGTCTTGGAGCTGGACTTTGTCCCATAGGTAATGGGACCCAGGGCAGTGGGGCCAGGCTTATCCCCAGTGGGTAGAGTTGGGTGTGCCTGTCGGTCAGCAGGCTTGGCGCCTGGGCAGTCCTGCGGCTGACTCATCTTTCCCGGTGCCCAGCCCAGGCCTGGCAGGAGAGTCAGGAATCTACAGGGTGACCATAGTCAAAGTGCCTGGTCCTAGGCTGGGGTCTTCAGGGCTATTGCTGTGATCCAGAGGGTCCTCTGTCAGCCTAGACGTCTCCATTGTTTACAAAGCCAGTCTTTACATCCTAGTCTGTGTTTGGCGCTCCTCATGACCCAGGCCAGCTGGAGCCCAGTGGTAACTTGCTCTGAAGTGGCCCCCAGCTCTTCTGAGTCCACAGTCCCCAAATGGTAAACCCCAGCCCCCCCATACTCCACTGAGCTCTGTGGCCACTTGTCACAGGTTGTGTCCATGTGATGTATCACCCAAAATCTCACCCCAGCTCCTTGTCCCCCAACTACCACCCACAGGTGGTAGGGCGCTTAACCTAACCCACATGTGTCTCCTTAGCTGGGGCTGCCTGCAGGCCTGGGGTTCTCGATCCCATGTTCCAGCACCAAGGCCTGACAGGCCTCCACCTTGCTGTCTGGGCTCCGGAATAAGGCCAGCTTCTAGCTGGCAGCCAGGGCCAAGGGAGGCTGGGGCCACAGCAGGCCATCAGAGGCTTTGTGACTGCAGGTGGCTTTTGTGGTCTCAGCATGTACCCTGCATATCAGAGGCTATCCTGGCCCTCCCTCTGCTCGCCACCTGGGGGCAGTGATGGGGCAGCTCCCTCCTCCCTCTTCCTCTTCCCTTAGCAAATGCTTACTAGTACCTCCTGTGTGTGAAACTCTGGGAACAGCAAAGAAAGCTCACTTAGGAAGCTCCCAAGGGCAGAACGGCCTAGGCGGACATAGCTTTCTCATTTGGCATTAAGGGCCCAGAAGGAAAAAAGCAGGGGGCAGTTAGGGACTTAGGACTGATGTAAAGTAGGTGTGAGCAGAGCCTCAGAGAAGAATTTTGTTTGTTTTTTTGCTTATGATTTTTTTATTTATGTGTATATGTGTATTGCCAGCATATGTGTAAGTGCACCCATGTTATGCAATGCCCTTGGAGTCAGAAGAGAGCATCAGATCCCCTGCAACTGGAATTACAGACGGTTGTTAGCCATCATGTGGGTTCTGGGAACTGAACCCGGGTCCCCTGCAAGAGCAGCCAGTGCTCTTAACTGCTGAGCCAGCTCTCCAGCCCTGAGAAGAGTGTTCTTAGCCAACACCTGAGGGAGGAAAGGAAAGCTGCCAAGGTGCCATTTGGAAGAAGATGTAGTTTCAAGCAGGGCCAAGAGCTGATTAAAGGCTCTGAGAGGTGTACACATCTGTGTGTGTTAGAGGAGCAAGCAAGGCCCGTGTGAGCAGAGTTCACAACTCCATGCCCAAGGTGGGGCAGGGGTGTGAGGGCTGGCGTCTCAGGGTGCGTTGGTGTTGATGATTGCCACAAAACTCACTGAACCCCTTGGTCTTGACTTTAGGCTGAGGCCTTTCTCACTCTGCATCCCATCCCCTGCTCAAGTGGTTTGAGGTTAACGATGCTGGCAGCCTGCAAAGGTGGAAGTGCTGAGCTGGGCAGCCTGTAATTTGCAGCTCTCTGGGCCAATTACAGGCTGGGTTTGCCTCCCTCCCTCCAGCCCACAGGGCAGGACTCACCCCCAGTCTGGGAGCCAGGGAAAAACAAGAGGCACTTCTCAGGGAAGCCCCCAGCATGGTCTGTGGGGGTGACAGCAGTTCTTGGGGGACTGCAGGGCCCCGTCCCCCACCTCATCATCACCACACCATCACTTCACCTGTCTCTGTCTTGTTTCTGTGTTGTGTTGTCCTGTCTCTGTGTCGGATGCACATCCCGTATCCCCACCTTGCCCGGCCTTACCCTGCCATTGCCTGGACCCCAGACCATCGTGCGGGGCAGCAAAGGTGCCAAGGATGGTGCCCTCACACTGCTGCTCGACGAGTTTGAGAACATGTCGGTGACACGCTCCAACTCCCTGCGCAGAGACAGCCCGCCACCGCCTGCCCGTGCTCACCAAGAGAATGGGGTTCCAGAGGAGCGGGTCACCCAGGCCAGAGTGGCCCCCGAGAAGGCGGGAGGCCGAGACCGGGCCACGGGCCACAGCGAGGCAGGTGGTGGCAGTGGTGACAGGCGGCGGGTAGGGCCAGAGAAGAGGCCCAAGTCTTCCAGGGAGGGCCTGGGAGGACCCCAGGAGGCCTCCCGAGATAAGCGCCCCCTCTCTGGGCCTGATGTCGGCACGCCCCAGCCTGCCAGTCTGGCCAGCGGGGTGAAACTAGCAGCTGGCAGGCCCTTTAACACATACCCACGGGCTGATACGGACCACCCTGCCCGAGGTGCCCAGGTAACCCACCCCATCCCCACTCCAGCACCCCAGTGTCCACTTCTCGTTGCTTTTCCGTCCCTATGTCCCATCCCTGACCCCTTGTACATCAATCATCCTGACCACCCATGTGTGTCGCCCACCTGGGGAGAGCTGATCCATTCTCTGCTTACAGTACCTCTTTCTTCTGTTGCAGGGGGAATCACACAATATGGCCCCTAATGGGCCATCAGCTGGGGGACACACTGCCCCCCAGTCCTCTTCCTCTCGGCCTCCCACCCGAGCCCACGGTGCCCCCAGCCGTGGAATGCTGGGTCCCCATGCCTCAGAGCCCCAGCTGGCCCCTCCAGCCCGTGCCCTCGCTGCTCCTGCTGCACCCCCTGCCCCTGGGCCCCCTGGGCCTCGCTCACCTCAGCGGGAGCCCCAGCGAGTGTCCCATGAGCAGTTCCGGGCTGCCCTGCAATTGGTGGTGGACCCAGGGGACCCACGTTCCTATCTAGATAACTTCATCAAGATTGGTGAGGGGTCCACAGGCATCGTGTGCATAGCTACAGTGCGTAGCTCAGGCAAGCTGGTGGCCGTCAAGAAGATGGACCTGCGCAAGCAGCAGAGGCGCGAGTTGCTCTTTAATGAGGTGGGTGGCAGGCCAGGCCTACTCCGTGCCTTCTGTCCACCATCTCCCCTCTTGCCGTGGTACCAATCCAGCTTCTTCCTCTCTGTGCTATGTCCCCAGCTTAAGGTCCCTGCCTTTGTCTCTGTCCTAACAAGTACCTAACCCCTGGCTGTTCTTGTTACAACCCAGCCTCAGACCCTCCCCATTGAGCCCACACAGGCCTCTGTTCTCCCCTCCAGAGGGTCCCTGTCTCTGGGAGAGTCCATCATACCTCACTCCAGACCACAGTCCTGAACCCTCTTTCTCCTGAACCCACCTCTGCGCAGCCTTATTCTCTCCCCGTTTTGTTCCTGCTCCAGCCTTCATTTCAGGTATCCCCTGGTCATCCCCCACATAGCAGCCAAGGTCTGACATTGAAGCTGGCTGTGTTCCATTTCCCTTTACAGGCCCTCTCCGTATCTCCCATATCTCAAGTTAGAGTCCATCCCCTTTGCCTTGTCTGGGTTCCATCCAGCCTCTGGCTCTGGGTCTTGGCAGCTTTGCAGTCCAGTCAGAAAGGCCTAGAGGGGTGGGTGTGGGTGTGATAAACATCTCCTGCCTCTTGACAGGAGGTCCCAGAGGTCCTGTGTGGAGTCTCTCCAGGCTCTGCTTCCTATCTCTCAGCACTTCCTTCGCCACACTAGCCTGTTCTCCACCCCACATCCCAGCACCTCAGCCACACCAGGAACATTACCTTGTCTCCTGATCCCTGTAAACACAGCTCCCTGCCACCCCAGTCCCCAGGCCTTTCCCTTGCCTTTTTTTTTTTTTTTTTTTTTTTGAACAAGGTCTCCCTGTAGCCCTGGTTGACCTGGAATTCAGAGATCTGCCTGCCTCTGCCTCCTAAGTGCTGGGATTAAATGCCTGCACCATCACAAGGCTCCCCTACCTTCTTGGGCCTGGAGTTCTCAGTTACCCTCTAGACCTCCTCCCACTTTTCTTTTGACCCCTCTTCATACCTGCTTGTTTCTTGTCCCCTCCCTCTCCTGATCCTGAGGGTCAGGCCACTCAAAAACCAGCCAGGACTCGCTAAGGAGGATTAGAAAGCCCACATGCTGGTGTGAGGGTAAAAGCACATACTCAGAATGGAGAAGTCTGCATCAGGCTGGCTTTGAGGTCTGCTTGGCCTTAGTATAAGGGGACAGCTGCCAGAGTCAGGTTGTCCAAGTGCAACTTGCTAGACAGGCGGGAGGCTGGCAGCAGAGTCTAAAGACAGGCCATACGTGTGGCCCCCAAGCTAACTCTGACACTGCCTCCTTCCCAGGTGGTGATCATGCGTGACTATCGGCACGAGAACGTAGTAGAGATGTACAACAGCTACCTGGTGGGGGACGAGCTCTGGGTGGTGATGGAGTTCTTGGAAGGAGGTGCCCTCACCGACATCGTTACCCACACAAGGTACTGCTGGACTCTGGCTGGCACCCAGCCTGCTGGCTCACTGGTCCCCCATGGTAGAGCTGGGTCCCTTCAGGTCTCATGATAGGACAAGTCCCCTGCAGAGTGTGAAGAGGGCAGCTGCCACATGCTTAGGGTCCCGTGGTCAGGGGTCTTGGCTTCCTCCCCACTCCCATGGAGGCAGGTTCATGTGGCCTCTCTGGACTTACCAGGCCAGGGTAGGCACCTGTCTGCCCAGTTGCCCTCTGCTTGCACAGGATGAATGAGGAGCAGATTGCCGCTGTGTGCCTGGCTGTGCTGCAGGCACTGTCCGTCCTCCATGCCCAGGGCGTCATCCACCGTGACATCAAGAGTGACTCCATCCTGCTGACTCACGATGGCCGGGTGAGCAGGTGGTTCCCATTGCTAGACAGGGTTTCAGTCCATCATGGTAGAGTGGAACAGAGCGGCTCACTTCTTAGCCAGGAAGCATGGGTGCTTGCGCTGTGGGCTTTCTCCTCCTTCCCTTACATTCCAGCCTATAGGGTGGTGTTGCCCACGTTCTCAGTAGCTTAGGGTCCCTGCCTCACTCCTTCCCTCTCTGCTGTTACAGCGGGAACTGAGCTCCTATTCAATGGCTGGAGGAGCAGCTAGCTGAGCTCTTCTTTATAAAACAGTCCAGAGTCTGGGTGTTGCAGCTCTGGGCCACAGGCTTCCCAGCCACGCAGCTGGCCTGGCTCCCCTGTTGTTTTGGTTTGGTTTGATTTGAGACAAGGTCTGACTGTAACCTTGGCTGGCCTGAACTCCCTATATAGACCAGGCTGGCCTGGAACTCACAGAGATCCACCTGCCTCTGCTTCCTAAGTGCTGGGTGGGATTAAAGATATTTACTACCATCCCCAGATGGTTTTTGTGTTTTTAGACAGGGTCTTCTGTGTGTTCCTGGCTGACCTGGTTCTTGCTTGTACAGCCCAAGCCTTCCTTTAACTCCTGCCTTAGATTCCCAAGTGCTGTGATTTTACAAGCATATCTACCACACCTACTCCCACCTCCAGACAGGACTCCCAGGGCCTTATTGCCCTGACACTTGGGCATTGGACACCTGTGCCAGGCTTGCTATGGACCCAAGGGTCAGTGTCCTCTTACTCCCTATGTCATCTTGAGAGCCTCCCTCACTCGAGCAGACCAGACTGGGGCACAGGGCTAACTAGTCTGGGTTCCCTATAGTTCCTGAAGTTGACTCTAATGGCTTCCCGTATTTTAGACTGAGGTCCTGTCTCTGTGTCTGGTACCGTGGGCCCTTTCTGACTCCCCCAGAGTGCAAGGAGACTTGAGTTCTGGAGGAGTCAGAAAGGGTCCATAACTCCTAAAGGGTACGGGTCCTGGGGACTGGCTGTGGCAGAGGTAGTGTCTCCTTCCTCCCCCCACATGCACGCACATTCCCAGGCCAGGCTGTGTTACGCTCGAATCAAAGAACAGAGGACTTGCTTCCTGTGCAGCATAGAAACCCAGATCACTGGCTTTCAGAGCCAAGCCCATCTTGGTCCCTACTGAGCCATTGCTATCTGCAGGACACAGCCACTTCCCCTAAGAGCCTCAGGACACCTGAGGACCCTTCCAGGAGGTGCCAGAACTACCCTGTGCTGCCCAGTGGAGCCCCTGTGGCTGAAGCCAAGCGGTCAGATGGGTGAGCACCTCTGACCCACAGCCTCTCCCTGGCTTAGGTGAAGCTGTCCGACTTTGGGTTCTGCGCCCAGGTGAGCAAGGAGGTACCTCGGAGGAAGTCACTGGTTGGCACACCGTACTGGATGGCCCCAGAACTCATCTCCCGCCTTCCCTACGGGCCGGAGGTAAGCCCAGAGTGACCCAGGCACCCAGTCCCGAGCACCGTGCATGCCGGTAGTCCAGTTTCCCAGTCTATTGGAAAGGCAGGGCTGGCCACATGTGAGCAGCTGTCAGTGAAGATGGGGCAGGCACCCCCTGCCAGTCACTACCCGATCCTACCCCACCAGCCGCTGTGACCTGCCAGACCCTGAGGCTTTCTCCCCGTTAGTCAACAAACCTGACCCAGTATCTAATAGGAAGAAAGGGAACGCCTCAGGGTGGGCAGGCTGTAGCAGGGTCACTCCGGAGTGGGGCTGGTGTGAGATTCCTTGGGGACATGTCAGCCGTCTGCTTATAAGTGACCACTGTCAGTCCCTAGACTGGGAAGTTTGGGGAGGGCAGGCTTTAGCTTGTGTGCAGTGTGTCCTCAGCTCAGCCTGATGTCCTGTGTTGCTCTGCTTTGAGCACACACTCTTCCTGTGGCAGCAGAAGTGGTCCCCAGACCTAGGGGACACATGTCCTGTGAGCTGCCCTCAGATTCCAGATATTTTGACTGAAGTCCCAGGGCTGGTGCTGATCGGCTCAGCTTAGGTCACGTGGCCCATCCTGACCCAGCCTTGTGTCCCAACTGCTGTTTGAGCAGTCTGGGACATATATGGGAACTATGAAAGAGGGGAGGGGTGTGGCTAGCAGGGAGCAGGGTACCCTGTGTGCAGCATTCTTGAAAGAGTTCTCGGAGTGGGCCAGGGGCCGAGCACAGGAAGTGTAACCAGCCGGGTGTCTCAGAGGCTGAGGGTGCTGTCAGACTAGGAACCAAGTGATGGAAGGCACAGGGCCACTCATCCCCAAGAGTTGCATGGGCTTGGCTGACCCTCCACACTCAGCTCTGTGGTCCTTTTCCCCCCCCAGGTGGACATCTGGTCACTGGGCGTAATGGTGATCGAGATGGTGGATGGGGAGCCTCCCTACTTCAATGAGCCACCCCTCAAAGCCATGAAGATGATTCGAGACAACCTGCCTCCCCGACTGAAGAACCTGCACAAGGTGAGCAGAGCCCCACCAGGCACAGCTGGGCCTGTGCCACTGACCTGCGTGTCTGCAGACAGCTCTATGTGAGAACTGACCCCACAGACAGAACCACATGGTTCCCTATGCCCTCAGCTGCCAAGAGCTTGGGCCCAGGTTGTCTGAGTTCCCTGCCCTGCCTCTGTCTAGGTAGAGGCAGAGGACAGGGACAGGGACAGGGTGGTCTTGATGGAGCAATTACATGGTGGAAAGAGGCTGCTGCCAGCTCCTTACCAGACCACAAAAGTGGGGAGCTTTGGGTATGGCATGACTCATGAGGCCCAGCAGTGACCTCCCGAGACCTCTTCACTCCTCCCTAGAGGCTTTCCCAAGGTGCCATCAGCTCATAGGGCATTGGTGGAAAATGGCCCTACAGCAAGTAACCCCGCGTTCCCTGCTTCCCCACAGGCCTCGCCATCTCTGAAAGGCTTCCTGGACCGCCTGCTGGTTCGGGACCCAGCCCAGCGGGCCACCGCGGCAGAGCTGCTAAAGCACCCGTTCCTTACCAAGGCAGGACCCCCTGCCAGCATCGTGCCCCTCATGCGCCAGCACCGCACCAGATGAGCTGGCGCCCAGCACTGAACCAAAGAACCCCGGGCCACCCTGCCCAGCAGAGGCCAGTAGGGGGCGCCCGTTCCCACTGCGCACCACCACTGTGCTGGGGGCTCCGTGGCACCCCACTACTGAGCTCCAGTTTTGATTCTGTGACTTTGAAACCAACACAAGGACACATGGGATCAAGTGAGGCTCCCAGGGACCCTCACCCTCCAGGACAGGCCCCTTCCCTTGTGCTGTGTCCACAGGAGAGAGGGCAACTGCCCATCACTGGAAATATGCAGCAGGGGCCACTGGCAGCAGAGAGGACACCGTAAGAAAGGTGTGTGAGTGCGTGCGTGCGTGCGTGCGTGCGTGCGTGTGTGTGTGTGTGTGTGTGTGTGTGTGTACACCGTGACAGCCCGGCTCCTCTGTCCTCAACCTGCAAGTAGGGATCTCCAGCCTTGCCTGGTGCCCAGCCCCTACCCCTGAGCCATTGAGGGGTCAATCATGAATGTCTGAAGAGTGGCCTTTTCCCGGAGCCCCGCACCCCCTTCCTGCATCTGGTGGGGGCGCAGGTTGGGGCCTCCCCTCCCCCACCTCTGCAGCAAATGACTACTGCACCTGAACAGCCTCCATTTTCTAGAAATCTATTTATATTGTCATTTTATAATACTAGCCCTGCCCCAACCTGGGGATAGATGATCCCTGTCCTGTGGGGTGGCCCAGGGACAGAGCCACTTTGAAGAATCAGGTTCCTGCTTCCCCCTTGCACCCCACCCTCCCTCCTTTGAGTTAGTTTTACAATTAAAACATTTTTGTGTTTTGTGGTATGTACATGTGTGATGTGTTGAGGCCATTGCCTGGCTGTATAGTGGGAGGTTTAGGGGATTGGGCCTGGTTACCCAGACTTGGTTAGAGAAAGACACCCCATTCCCTGGATGAGGCAGGCAACCAGCCTGTTAGCTTGGATTCAAGTACTGCAGTTTCCATGTCTCCACCTGGAATTTGTTCTAGGGATTTTTGTTGTTTGTTTTTTGAGACAGGGTCTCATTGTATATCCCTGCTGGCCTGGACTGCTATGTAGACCAGGTTGGCCTTCAACCCACAGAGATTCTCCTGCCTCTGCCTCCCAAGTGCTGGAACTAAAGGCGTGTGCCGCCATTTCTAATTTTTTGAGACAGGATCTTACTATGTAGCTCAGGCTGACCTAAACTCACTATGTAGCTCAGGCTGACCTCGAACTTACAGCACTCCTGCCTGTCTCCCGAGTGCTGAGATTACAGGTGAGAGGCACCACCCCTGCCCTTGTCCTGGAAATTTCTGCCTGGAGCATGTGTGATATAGGAACTGACCCTAGCAGACTGGTACTAGCAGAGAGGGCCCTTTGACAGCTAAGTCAGTGGGCACATGGGCTTTTAGGAACCCCTGAGGCTGAGCAGCCATGAGTCGCCAGCTTGGAAGTCCTGTCACGGGGGACTCCTCCAAGCCTACAGTGAGGCTGCAGAGTGCTGGATAGAGGTGAGTGTTCTGCCTTTGAGCATGACCCTCACAGCCTACCAGCACCCCAAGAGGCAGCTGGTGGAAGAATAAGGATCAGCCTGATACTATGGCACCAGGACCTCAGCCTGGTATATGGTAAGGACACACAGGCTACTGCCACACAGCCCTGGACTCCCAAGAGTCAGGACGCTGTCTGTGGCCAGGCCATGCCGAATGCCAGTGACCTTACAGAAATACAAGAAAACGGGGTCGGGGGGTGCAGTCAATGCCTTTCTGTGAAGGAGTGGGCCAAAACTGGCCAAAGATAAAAAGCTGCAGGCCTGAGTACTTTTATAAGCAGCATCTACTTCTACTTCAGGCTGGGGTTGTAGGCTCAGTGTTTAGAATGTTTGCCTGGCATGCACAAAGCCCAGGTCCTATAGCATGTAACACCAGTCCTTGGTGGTGATGCCTGTGATCCCAGTACTTGTGAGGTGGAAGCAGAAGTTCAAGGTCATCCCCCAGGAGTTGGAACCGGCCTAGACTGCATAAGACCCTGAGTGGGGCTGGACAGATGGCTCAGTGGATTAGAACAGTGGCTGCTTTTGCAGAGGAACTGAGTTTGGTTCCCAGCACCCACACATTGGCTAACTGTCTTTAACTCCAGCCGGGATCCAATGCCCTCTTCTGGCCTCTGCTGACATTGCACGCACAGGCACAGGTACATATATGTAGGGACACTCATACACATAAAAAATATATATATAAATCAAAATTTTAAACAGACTCTGAGCTAAGTGTGGTAACACCTTTAATCTTAGCACTTGGAAGGCAGAGGCAGGTGGATCTTTGTGAGACTGAGCCAGCCTGGTCTACATAGCTAGTTCCAGACCAGCTGGGACTACAGGGAGACCCTGTCTCAAAACAGTAAAAAAGACTCTTAGTCAAAAACAAAAATAAGCGGAGCATGGTGGTACACACCTTTAATCCCAGCATTTGGGAAGCAGAGGCAAGCAGATCTCTGTGAGTTGAAGGTCAGCCTGGTCTCCATAACAAGTTCTAGGCTATATAGTGAGACCTGTCTCCAAAAATATAAGCCAAATGAAACATATCAAACATTGAAGGGACCTGCACAGGGTGTCCCAGAAAGTAGGGCCAGAATAACACCCAACTCGGGGCTGGTGAAACTGGATGAAGACCATGAGCAACAGAACATTCCAGAGCCCTGTGGTTGAGTGCCTGAGCTCTGATCCTGCTGGCCACTAAGAACACATCTAGAAAGTGATACATTTCAAGTAAAGTCACCTGTGTTGTCACATGTCCAGCTCCAAGGAAAGCCACTGGTTTGGACCTCTTCAGTCACTGTCCCTGTCTTTAGAAGGGATGGCTCTGGGTGGTGCCGCAGGAGGTGCTCCAGGAGGCCCATGGCTTCCCCCAGTTCTGCCTCCTGCCCCTGTCACCTGTGTGGAAATGTCCCCGTGGATCTGTCACTAGCCATCAGGAGTATGCAGCCCACTGTCTCAGGCACGGTTAGGGGACAGGGTTTAATACAGGGGTTGTTAGTTATGTAGAAGACAGAAGAAGCCAAATGGCCAATTATCCGAGACCCATGCGGGGGCCATTGTCACCTCAGAGTAGGGGATAGAAAGGGTCAGCAGCACTACCCCAGCCTTGACTTACTATGCCCACCCAGACTTATTTGTGGATTAACAAGGGCATTTTTTTGGGGGGGGGTCTTTTTGAGACAGGGTCTCCCTGTAGCCCCAGCTGTCCTGGAACTCACTATGTAGACCAGGCTGGGCTTCAACTCACAGAGATCCGCCTGCCTCTGCCTCCCAAGTGCTGGGATTAAAGGCATGTGCCACCACGCCCGGCTGACAAGGGCATTTTTGTAAAATGCTTTTTCAGATTTCTTATTTTTTGTCTCTCAGACAGGGTCTCCCTGTAGCCCAGCTAGCCTGGAACTCACTGTGTAGACCAGGCTGGCCTCCATCTCACAGAGGTCTGCCTGCCTCTGCCTCCTGAGTGCTGGGATTAAAGGCATGTGCCACTATGCCCGGCTCTTTTTCAGATTTCTAGGTTGAACAGAGCCAGAACCCCAGGACTTAAAGAAGCACTTAGGAGGGCCTTGTGGGCTACGCAGCAATCACACCACGTGCAGTGGCAGCAAAAGGGGAAGCAATGGAACTGGCAACTTGCGCTGCCCCAGGTGTAACTGCCCAGACCCCACACTCCCCAAGGATCGTCATTCAGCTGGGTGGGGTGGTGGGTGACAGATTGGGCCCTAAGTGCAGGTGGAGGAGTCAGAGTGTTTATCCTGCAGGCCAGAGGGGTGTGTGCAGAGAACCCATATGAATGATGGGAACAGGTCAGACCAGTGGCTCTCAACCCTGAGAACTTACAAATTTGACTTCCTGGGTTCCTCCCCAGGCTGAATCAGAATCAGGGTGGGCCCAGAGAGCTCTATTTCAACAAGGGATTCTGATGTCTGCTTCCTTTTGGGAAACCCCTGAGGCAAACAACCATTCTGTACAAAACTCCAAACTATGTGGGATTCTGTCCAGCCTTCTTCCATCCTCTGCCTCAGAGGATACTGGTCTCCTACATAGACGGCATTCTCCTTTAAGACCTCAATCCACAAGTTGTGCCATTTCTTCATTGGCCAGAGATCAGCCACACCCAGGGTCAAGGCAGGTTGGAAAATGGATTCTTTGCTGGCTGTGGACTTGTGAGGCTCCACCCAGTGGCTCATGAGAATTTGTGGGGCATCACCCCAGGAACTGTGGCTTAACGACATACCAGAGAGCCCAGGAGCTTCCTGCACAAAAATGATGACCCCACAAGGTTATGGGAGTAAAGAGATTATTGAATAACAGCGCTGGGGAAGTTCACTCATGTTACCTACAGGAAGAAGAGTCTCACTAATTCTACAAAAGAAAAGGCCAGTGAGATGGTTCAGTCACATGAAGGTACCTGCCACCAAATCTCATGACCGGAGTTCAATCCCTAGGACTCATGTGGTGGAAGAAGAGAACTGATTCTCACAAATTGTTCTCTAGGGGCTGGAGAGATGGCCCATTGGTTAAGAGCACTGGCTACTCTTACAGAGGACCTGAATTCGATTCCCAGCACCCACATGGCAGCTAACAACCATCCATAAATCCAGTTCCAGAGAATCTGATGCCTTGGCAAAGTGCACATACACACTTCCATGGCCTCAGCGCAAGCAGTGTTGATCTAGATAGGACCAAAAAAAAAAAAATTCAATGATAAGTAAAATATAGGGTTATTATGGTTTGAATATAAAAATGTCCCCAAAGGGTTGGTGTATTAAAAGCTCAGTTGCCAGTTGCTGGTCCTTTGAGGTGATTGGATCGTGAGGGCACTGATGTCATCAGTAGATTAACACATTGAGTTCCTAGCTAAATGGGCTATCAGGAGAGGTGGGGTCTGGTTGGAAGAAGGAGGTCACCCATGGTGGGTTTGAAGGGCATGCCTCCCTCCTTCCCCACTTCCCTTCTTTCTGCTTCCCGGTGGCCATAAAGTAAACAGCTTTCCCATCATGCTGTTCCACTGTTTTCCCTCAACATGCAATGGAGCCAAGTGATCACAGACCAAAGCAACCTAAGATAGAGGGGTTTATTTGGGCTCACAGTCTGAGGGGAAGTCCATCAACTTCAGGGATCGCATGGCTGCAGGAGTGCAAGGCTCTGGTCACACTGCGTCTGCAGTCAGGAAGCAGAAAGTGATGACTGCTGGTACCCAGCCCTCTTTCTCCTTTTTTTAAAGTCCCAGACCCCAGCCCATGGAGTGATGCCACGCATATTCAGGATGGATCTTCCCACCTCAACCTAATCTAGAAACTCCCTCACAGACATGGTCAGACTAAGTTTGCTAAGTGAGTCTAGATCCTGTCAGGTTGATGATCAGTATTAACCATCACATTCCTACAAGGTTTCTTCCTCAGGTGTTTTGTCGCAGCAATGAAAAACTAACGATAGGTCACAGAGGAAAGTAGCCCATGACTACAAGTCCAAATAGGACTTCTGAAATACAGTTGAAGAGCTTAGAGATGGCTCAGTGGTTAAGGGCACATACTGCTCTTACAGAGGACCTGGGTTCAGCTCCCAGCACTCACATTGAACAACTTACAATTGCCTGTAACTCTAGTCCCAGGAGATTCAAGGCCCACTTCTAGCCTCTAAGGGTACCTGCACTCGCATGCATGCATATCATCCACACACACAAAATTAAAAATAAACTTTTTAACACCTTTTTTAAAAGATACAATTTGAGCCCAGGCATGGTGGTACATGCCTTTAATCCCAGCACTTGAGAGGCAGAGGCAGGC